ATATAAAAAAAAAATGTCCAGGCTACGCCTACGTCCTACGTCATCTGCAGGAACGCCACTCTCTCGTGAAAGTGAGTACGACAGTTAGCGGAAGCTAGAGATTACAGTTTATAAAGTTTTAAATACGCATAGTTCTCTTACACCAACGCATCAATTCACTTCAAAAGGCCCTTTTTCATCCCCCAGAGCTGTGTGGAGTACTTTTTATGATGGAAGGATGCACTTTTTTGGGCTTCAAAATCTTGACCACCATTCACTGTCGTTATAAGGCTTGGAAGAGCCAGGGCATTTTTTTATATAACTCTGTTTGCATTTGTCTGAAAGAAGAAAGTCATATACACCTAGGATGGCTTGATGGTGAGTAAATTATGGGGTAAATTTTATTTTTGGGTGAACTATCCCTTTAAGGTGTTTAAATTTTAAACGCTTCCTCCCCTGTTGTCTTCTCATATCAAAATCCACTGGCATATTTGTTTAGAACAGTTTTGAATGTTTTTGCTTGTAAACAGTGCTTGATCTGTGCGTACTTCTCTCCTGTTTCAGATGAGACAGCTTTTTCATCGGAGAAAGCAATATTAAGGATATGACTTGTATTTTAGCTGGAATGAATGGTTTGAAGTTAAAAATGTCTTGATGGATGGATTTGTTTCTTGCAAACGTAGCTTTTTGCCTTTTGCTTTCTTCTGTGTAGATTGTCAGCTAATTTTCTTAAAACTATTGCTTTAAGTTAAGAGCCACTGTCATAATAGTGGTATTTTTTTTAATGTGAAATATTGGAAACTTTGTTGTCAGGACAAGGTTATTTTACCATGCATGTCAGGTTAGGGCAAGATTGGATTTTCATGCATTTTAAATGTTTCAAGGCAATATAGAAATGTTCAACAGCTTTTTTGTAGGCAAGAGACAAGTATGTGTCTATACAGAAACTGGCATTCAAAATACTTAATAAGGTAAGAGTGACAAATAGCCACCTCAGTCTCCTCTATCTGTTATTCCAGAAGAAAATGTACCAAGCACATGAAACATCTCCACGTGAATGCTCCATTATTATAGATCAAACATGTGTTTCAGGTATCAGACTTATTTAAGAGCTTCTCAGCAGGAGTTCACGGAAGTGAAAAAGGGAAATGGTGATGTTGGTTTACCTCATGCTGCTGCTTACCATCAGACACATGTTTCTGCACATGCATGATGTCACGCTATACACATGCAGAGTCTTCTTTTTCTTTGCCAACAATTGTTAATATACAGTATGTAGGTCTATTTAATAATACATTTTATTTAAAAAGCAGACAGGAAATATAGGTCTGTTTCTGGTTCATTAACAAAAACTGTTCATGCTATGTATTTTTTTTTTTTTCAAATAGGCTGTTACTGTAATGAAGGATGGAGCTGACAGCATACCTACAGCCTCTGAGTAAACTTTGTTTCCCATTTCTTATGCAAAGAAAACATTGACATAGAATTCTTAAAGGTTCAGCAGCAAATAACAGCTCATTTAATTTTAAGGGTCAGAAAGAAGATGGAAAGTGGTCATGTTACCATGGCAATCCTTATAGCTTTACATTGTTTTTCAGTGAGACATCATCAAGGATTTTTTTTTTCTGCCCTGGTTCATCTTTTCAACTTCCATCAATTTTCTGCTGTTTGGCAGTATCCTGCCTTCCTTCCTCCCATGTATTTAGTTATTGCCAGGCTCACAGATCCAGCCAAGTACATCGAGAGAGGGGGAGTACAGAGAGAGAGTCAGAAAGAGAAGCAAGTAAAACAGAAAAATTTGCCTATATTGGTTTCAGACATAACAAAATCAACCTAATAATGACTGTTCCTATTAAATGAACATAATTGATGCACAGCACATCTTTGCTTTCCTTTTTTATTGTTAGTGGTGCTTGCTTAATAGCAGAACTCATGTTTTCCTCAGAAAATGTAAAAAATATAGTTTTATTTATGTATTTTGAATTGTTCAAACGTAACCAGCAGCTGCTTTGACAATACAATTACAGCGTTATTTGTCATGCAAAGAAAGTACACTAAAACTGATAGAGAGAGTGAGAGAAGAAGGAAGAAGAGAGGAACATTGTCTGTGTTTCTGTGACTGTTCCACAGTTATGCAAGCCAGAAGTAAAACCTCAAACTTGTCCTGCACACCAGTGAAATAAATGCTATGCTATGCTTCACAGCTGATTCATTGAGTTATCAAATTGAATTAGAGGCTTGTCTGTGGAAAAGCATCAGAAAGGCCTTTAGAAAGTTGACAATATCTGTCAGAGAGTGTAATAAATGGCATAAGAGCAGAAATAGGGTGCCCCCTACTGGCTGTATTGAGGGGATGTGTTTTGTGCTTTGTTACACCTCAAACTTGAAAATCTTAAAAATAAATGAAAACTGTGTAAATTAATGAGTTAATGATGATTTTCAGCAGCCATTGCTCCAGTCTTCAGTGTCATAAATCATTCTAATAGGCTGATTTGGTGGTCAGTAGCAATGTTGAAACATTTTGAACAGCATTTGAACAGCATTTTTGTTACTTTGTAACATTATAAATGTTTTCACTCTCACTTTGGATCATTTTAATGCATTCTTGCTGAATAAAAGTATCCAAATCTTTTTCTTTTCTTTTTTTTTAATTGTACTTAAGCTAGACTTTTGAATGGTGGTGTATCATGGGTCCAAGAAAATATTAAGCAGCAAAAATAAAACAGATAAAAATAAGAAATATTTCTTGAGCACCAAATCAGCAGCATATTAGAATGATATTCTAATATGCTGAGAACATAATGATTAGAATGATAACATAATATGTAATTAACTTGTAATAATATTTCACAATTGTACTGTTTTTACTGTATTTTGATCATCGCAGTCTTGGTTACTGTAGCATAAGAGACTTCTTTCAAAAACATTAAAAAGATTAATCTGAAAGACATATATTTAAAATGGGCATAAAATGGTAAATAAAATGATAGAATTATGCTTACAGTTTGTTATAAAGAGAAACCCACAGACATAAAAATGGGAAACAAAAAACTTTTTTCCTCAGCTATAAATGACCTCAGTGCTAACAGGCATGGACTTTAAACCACAAAACTCTAATTTTGATTTCATGGGCTCTTTAGTCAGCTTACAATCATACAACCACTCTCTTTTTCTTTCGCTTGTTTTGGAAAAACTTTATGTATCACCCTCTTCCTCAGCTGAGGCCTGAGCTGCACCTTTAGACATTCAGAGACAGACAGAGGGAGAATAGCATTCACCCCGTCATGAATGGCTATGACGCAAATTCCTGACCAATGTAGTTTACTGGCTACTGAGTTTAACAACAACTCTATTTCTACCCGTTCTGGCAAACAGACACACACTAAAGAGATCTGAACAGACCCCAAACAGAGTTTGAGCTGACAAAAGGAAGTCTGGATGACCTTTGTGCCTCAACTGGCTGTCCAACATGGGCTGTTTAGGCTAATAACAGGCTGAGCTGTTCTCAACTGCAGTAATGAACAGAGAAGTACTTTCTCTGCAACTTTGGAAATTTCTCTTTCAAGCAGAGTAACACTATAGTTGCAATGTACATGTAACTGATATTACATGATGTGTAACTATATAATCAATACCAGCAGCATCTACATTTGCTATTTGTGCCATTTGTGTGTTATATTGCATTGCCACAAAATATTGACATATTTCATGCATGTTTTTAGTATTGCTCAGTGCTTTGCAACATTAAAAATAAAATCTAGAGTGTGAGTATGTATATTTTATAGAATATTGTTTTAATGTCTTCATTTTCAAACAGGAATACATTTGGATAGCATGTGTTACAAAAGCATTCATGTTGTTTAAATTTACAGGTTGTGGCGCCACCATGTGGATACTGTGTTTCTAAACCCCGCCCGCATATTGGAAGGATAGTTTCAAAACTGAATTTTAATATATCGGTAATAATATTATAATTTTAATATAATATAGTATAGCACATAGCAAATATTATATATAGACAATATAATACATAGAAAATTAGATATATTAAGCTTTAAATTAGCGGAACCAAGATGTAACTTACTGCAAATGTGGCAATATCATTTCAAATCATTAAACAAATTATAAAACACATTTGTCTCGGGTCTTCTCTTTTTTCTGCAAGTATGAATGCCATTCTACTCATTCCTTTATTTATTTTTTTCATATATAAACAAATAAGAGATAATAATAACACAATAATTATTTATAAATGATTTATTATTCATTATATATTTTGACAAATACATTTTTTAAAATATATTTTGGAATCAGCAATTATTAGGCTAGTTGTTGTTTTTTTTCTTAGAGAGTGGAATTAGCAAACACATAACATCTGTATTTAATTTACGCGGAAATCATCTGTTATGTCTGTTGAAATGTCACTTACATTCAGTTTCTGAATATGATACACCCAAAACACATGTTAGAACGCATGACTGTAATTTCCCCCTCCCTCCTGAGACCACATAACAGTGTAGTAGTGTAAAACAGCTGTTTATTTGAAAATAAACCACCACAACCTCTACTATATTACTGTATGTGTGTAGGCGTATGGTGTAATGTGGATTGGATGCTAGCTAACATTCCCCCCCCCCCCCCCCCTTCCCCC